GATAAAACATGATATAGGCTGGGTGTGGTGGTTCATGCCTGTAATCCCACCACCTTGGGAGGCTGAGGCGGTATATCAATTGAGATCAGGAGTTCGATATCAGTCTGGGCAACATGGCGAAACCTGGTCTCTAACAATAATACAAAAATTAGCCAGGCATGGTGGCACATGTCTATAATCCTAGCTACTTGGGAGGCTGAGGCAAGAGAATTTCTTGAACCTAGGAGGCAGGGGTTGCAGTGAGCAGAGATCACTCCATTGCACTCCAGCCTGGGTGACAACGCGAAACTCCATCTCAATTAAAAAAAAAAAAAAAAAAAGAGATACAAATATTAAAGAAGTTATATGGCTGTATTCACCAAGATGGCATCATAGGCAAAGAGGGAAGCCCCTGCTCTCCCAACAGCAAAGTCAAACCACAGGCTTTGAAGGCCAAAACGGCAGTGCGGAAAAGTATCCACAGCCACACAAAAAAGAATTAACTTCACGTCAACCTCCTAACCACAGCCCAAGCCACTGCTGCTGTTCTGGAGGCAGCCCAAATATCCTTGGAAGAGCGGCCCAGTCCAGGGGAAACAAGTTTGACCACTATGCTATCAAGTTTCCCCTGACCACTGAGTGAACCATGAAAAAAAAAAAACAAAAACAAAAACAGAAAGTCAACAACATTCTTGTGTTCATTGTGGACATCAAGGCCAACAAGCACCAGATCAAACAGGCTAAGAAAAAGCTCTGTGGCAATGACATGGCCAAGATCAACACCCTGATCAGCACTGATGGAAAGAAGGCGCATATTCTACTGGTTCCTGACTATGATGATATTGCCAACAAAACTGGGATCATCTAAACTGAGCCCAGCTGGCTTACTCTAAATAGACATATTTTTTGCCCTACAATAAATAAATAAATAAATAAGTTAAATAAAACCTCTGTAATTTTTCATGAAAATTGGAAATATCAGTGTGAATTCATAATTTATTCTTCTCTCTTTTTTGAGACAGGGTCTCACTCTATCAAAACCAGCAAAACGAGATAGCGGAGAAATTACATTTTTACAACCCGCATTTCTAGATTTTAAAGACATTAAATACATGAAATAAAAGTTTTCTTTATAGAGTAACTTCAACTAATAAATGTAGGAGTGATATAATTCAAAAACCACCATTTTGCAATCCTTACATAATGGATCTAGTCAACAATCCTCAGATGCTGCTAAAACCTTTGCATGAAAGTTGATAAAAATTTTATAAAAGATAGATCAGGCCAACAACATCTAAAACCACTGACCAATCCTAGCAATACTGAAAGTGAACCAACCTAGCATTTATGGGCCTCATGATGGTAAGAAACAAAGAATATGGCACTTCTTATAAAGAATGTTCACCAAAAACAACTCTCCAGAACGAATTATCAGTTAACAGGAAATTACAGGGGTTAAACCAAACCACAAACATGTAATCAGCCAAACAGAACGTGGGAAATTCTACAGGTTAAATAACACAGTTTCCTCATCAAATAAAGGGCATGAAAGGGGAGGAGATTTAAGAGACCAGTTAGAACTGTATCTTCCATCCACAATGTGAAGACTTTATTTGGGTCCTAATGTAAACAAACAAACTGTAAAAGACATTTTTGAGACAGGTAAATTTGAACATGTTCTTATTACCAGATGTCATTAAGGAATTAATGTTATTAGTTGTGACATTTGCATGATGTTTGTACTTTGAAAATCCAAGTGTGTCAGAGATATATACTGAAACACATATGGGTGAAATGATATCTGGAATTTTATTTAAAATGCTACATGATGAGGGAGAAAGGAGAGAAGAGGAGCAGCAGAGTGAAACAGATAATATCAAGATGGCAACATATTGGCAACCGGTGAGGCCAGCAATGAAAATGTAAAATATCAATGAACTTCATTTTTGTATGTTGTAAATTTCCATAGTAAAGTTTTAAGGCTGTTATCACCAGCATGTCTGTTACCCTGAAGTATACTGGTCTCTATTCATTTATTTTTACTAGTCTCCAGAATTAACACCACTAAATTTTCCAAAAATTAAAAAATGTTATATTTCAACTAATATATTTAATCTAAAAATCAATTTCTGTATCACATTATATCCATATATATGAAAATGACTATCAGCATTATAAAGTCACTGTGCCTAACCACAGTTAAATATTTATTAAGCAGAACTGCATTTACATAGTTACAGCATTTCATTCTACTTCAATTTTATTTGAGATCTTATTTTACTTAATTAGAACCCCGTATCTTTTTCATCAACACCTAATCACAGTTAATACTACAATCGAACAATTTACGTTCTAACCTAAGGGGCACAGAGATGCGGAAACCAAACCACACTGTTAATATTTGCCGTAAAAGCTGGCTTCAAACCATGCACAGAGGCATTTCATTCATTAAAAACTGCAGTCTTAGCCCAGCACAGTGGCATACACCTGTAATCCTCCTGTAAAGCTACTCAGGAAGTGGAGGCAAGAGGATGGCTTGAACCCAGGAGTTCCAAGCCAGCCTAGACAACAAAGTGAGACTTCATATCTTATTAAAAAAAAAAAAAAAAAAAAAAGCAGTCTTATTTTAAGTCTCTCGCTGTACTTTCTAGAGCCACCTTAAAGTGTGACCCTAATACAAATTCATGTATATGAGAAGCTTTTTCGTGTTTTCCTAAGGAATAAACTGTGTTTTTAAAATCATCTGAAGGTTTAATACCTGAAGAAGTGACAAATGCTAAGAGTTCAGCCTAGTCAAAAATTAACACCAGACTCTAATACATCAGGGAGTTACTCATAGAAACAAATGCTTCTTGCCTATCAGTATTTAATGTCATCATTTGAGATCTGAATCCTGGCACTAGTTTTTAAAAGTAGAGCAGTCTCTGGAAAAGAACTCTGGACTATGAGTTCAGAGATCCAAATGAAGGGGTTGGTCTATGCTAGAGTTTGAATTCATAATTCTTTTTTTTTTTTTTTTTTTT